CCGGTACCGACCCCGACCCCGGGTACCCACTCCCGGTACCGACCCCGACCCCGGGTACCCACTCCCGGTACCGCCCCGAGGCCGGGACCGGGACCCGGAACCGCAGCGTCATCCCAGGACTGACGTCGGTACCGGCACCGGCATCTTTGCATCGACCCTGGTACCGCGCCGGGACCCCCGGGACTCATCCCCGGCACCGCTCCGAGGCCCAGGACGGGGACTCGGTACCGGCACCGGCATCCCAGGACACACTCACGGTACTTCCTCGAGCCTCAGTGTCGACCCCCGGTACCTCACCGGCATTTCGGGACTGACCTCCGGTACTGCCTCGATCCCCGGACCCACCCCCGGGACTGACCACGGGACCGACACCCACCCCCGGTCCCAGCACTGGCCCCGGTCCCGGCCCCCGGTGCCGCAGTGGCATCCTGGCAGACATCCACCCCCGTACCGACCCCCCAGCACCCACCCATTTCTGTGGTGCCACATGTGCCCCTGGGGCATCCACAGGGCACACGGAGGTCCCCAAAAGCCCCCCCCCCCCTTGCCTCTGTGCACCCCTGTGTGTTCCCTGTCCCCTCCCCAAACCCCCCCAGTGCAGGTCCTGGGGGGCACCCCCATGTCACCCACGGGCAGCACCCGAGTGCCAGGCAGGGATTTATTGTCTGGGGGGGAGCAGAGGGGGGCTGGGGTCCCACGGGCACTCAGGGGATGGAGGACAAGGGGGTTGGGGGGAGGGGCACAGGGGGACCGCGGGGGACCCCACTAGCCCTGGGCACCCCCGGGCTCCTGGGCCTGGCTGGGCTCCTGTGTGTCCCCCTCGGTGGGTGGCCGTGTCCTCTTGAAGAAACCCATCTGGAAGGAGACAGGGTGACAGCCAGGCCCTGTGGGACCCCATGGCACCAGCTCTGGGGACCCCACAGCATCACCCCCCAGGGATCCCTGTGGCACCACCCCCATGGCCCCCATGGCACCACTCCTGGGAGCCCACAGCATCACCCCCCAGGGATCCCTGTGGCATCACCCCCGGGGACCCCACAGCATCACCCCCCAGGGATCCCTGTGGCATCACCCCCGGGGACCCCACAGCATCACCTCCCAGCTGCCCCCCCCCCATCCTGCAGCCCCCACCTACAGGTCTGTACCCCCATTTCATGGTCCCTCCAGTGCCAGTGAGGCCCCACCACCATGGTGGGTGTCCCCGGTGTCCCCAGTGTCCCACTACACCCACTCACCTTCCACATGAAGAGGCTGAGGAGGGTGAGGAGCAGGAGCCCGGCCAGGACCCCCAGCACCACCCCCCACACCGGTACGGCCCCCTTGCCCCCGGGGCTGGCACGAACCACCCGTGTGACAGCCTGCGGAGGGACGGCTGGGTGACACTGCTGCCACCACAACCTGTCCCCATTCCCCAGTGTCCCCAACAGCCCTACCGTGGCGTTGCCGGCGGGCAGGACGCGGGGCTGGACCCGGTAGGGCATGGCCGAGGTGCTGAACCACGCCTGGGACTGGATGAGGAACTGCGACAGGAGGTGCTCCCGCTGGGGACACACGTGGGGACAGAGGTGGGGACACACGGGGACACACTGGGGACACGGCATCAGGGGTGCTGGCAGCCAATGGAACACCCATGACGCCTCTCATGTCATCCCCAGTGCTGCTCTCTGCAGGGGGGGACATGGCAGTGCCACCCTGTGCCCTCGCTGTCCCCAGGAAGGGACAGTACCTGCTGCAGGGTGTCCATCCAGAGCAGGGCGTGGACACTGACCAGTGCCCGCTGGTCCTTGCCCAGGCTGGGCACGTGGCAGGTGATGTCCACGCACGTGGCATTGTCACAGTCCTGAGGGACACCGCAGGTGTTGGGGACCCCCACCCCCGGGGACACCCCCAGCCCTGCACCCATTGTGGGCTGCAGGTCCCCGGGGTCATCGTGGGGCGGGGTCCTCCACCCAGCTCCACATCCGTAATGGGGTGCAGGTCCCTGGGTGCACCCCCTCACCACAGGGAGGGGGTCCCCCACCCTGGAGGCACCTCCAGCCCCCTCCCCATAATGGGTGCAGGTCCCCAGGGTCACCCACTCAGCACAGACAGGGTCCCCCACCCTGGCACCCCTCAGGCCCACCCATCACGGGGTACAGTTCCCCGGGGTCACCCTCTTACCACGGGGACAGGCTCCCCCAGCCCCAGCCCCGGGGGCTCCTCCGCCTCCCGGCGCTCCCGCTGGCGGGTGCCGTTCCCGGGCGCTGCTCCCGTGGGACGGGCGATCTCCAGCTGGAAGGAGACAAAGGGGTCACACCCACCCCCTTAACACCCACCAGCGCCCGCGGGTGGGCACTGGCCCCTCAGCCCCTACCTGGGCGGGGTTGAGGTCGGGGTGGTGGGTGCAGTTCGTGCCCCCCTCGGTGCCCAGCTCCAGCAGGTAGAGAAGGATGTGGCCGCCCAGCCGGTGGGGGACAGCGAGGCGCAGGGTGACCCCGCTGACGGTGCTGGGACCCTTGTTGTGGAGCTGCGGGAGGACAGGGGGGTGACACCAGGGAGGGGACAGAGGGGACAGCCCCCCGGGCAGCCGGAGGGGGCAGTGCCCTACCTCATAAACGTGCTCCACCTTGATGCCGTGGTCCTCGAGCCGCCGGCTGCCCTCCACCCCCTGCCAGCTCGTGGGCAGCACCGTCGTGTCTGGCAGGGAGTTGCTGGTGGGAGAGGGGCGTCAGTGTCCCCCTTTGTGTCTCCCCCCCGTGTCCCTGTGCCCCCCAGACCCTCACCCTCGCAGCTCCATCTCTGCCTGAGCCTCCACGGGCACTGTCACTGTCACCGACGCGTTTGTGGAGCTGGGGCTGTTCTTGCTGCGGGGGGAGGGACAGACACCGAGTTTGGGGACACGCTGAGGACACCGATCCCGAGTGCCAGTGTCCCGACAGCAGGAGGGGACAGGGGGATGGCAGTGTCACCTCCGCAGCTGGAGCTGGAAGGTGATGGCATCCCCCATGTCCTCCAGCCCGGACACGCTCAGCTCCATGTCCACGGTGATCTGGGGGGCAGGAGGGAGGTGGGTGACAACCCCAATGCCAGGGTGGTGATGGGCACAGCAGAGAGACCTCCCACCCCCTTACCTGGGCCCCCGCTTTCATGGGGTTGCCCAGCTCGCAGAGCACCACGTGGGTCCCGTTCTCCTTCTTGGGGTTGCAGCTCAGCTTCTCCTTCCCCTGTGGGTGGGGGACACAGGGAGGGGACACGTCATGGACCCCTCTGTGCACCCTCCACCCCAGGGACCTGCATGGGCCGAGGGCAGGGCGTGAGACCCTCACCCTGGACACCCCTCACCACTGGGCAATGCCATGGTGGGTGGCGGCCACCAAGGGCAGAACATGAGCCCCCCACCCCAGACACTGCCAAGGGGCAAGCTGTGAGCCCCCCACTCTGGGTCCTCTCTGACACCCCTCCCTCTGGGCACCCCAGTGGAGGGTGATGGCCACGAAGTGCAGGACATGAGCCCCCTATCCCCAGATCCCTGGGCACCCATGAACACTGGGCACCCACATGGAGGATTATGACAAACAAGGACAGTGTGAGCCCCCAGATCTGGGTCACGCCCCCATGCCGGGCACCCCCTGACACCCATCACCACTTGGCACCCCCGTGGATGGTGATGACCACCAAGGGCAAGGGATGAGCCTCCCACTCCGACACCATCAAGGACACGGTGTGAGCCCCTCACCCTGCACACCCCCCAGCACCCATCACCACTGGGCACCCCCATAAAGTGTGACACCCACCAAGGGCAGGGCATGATCTCCCCACCCTGCACACCCCCGAAAACCCTCCGGTCAACCATGGAGAGTGTTGGCCACCAAGGACATGGTTTGAGATCCCCACCCTGGACGTCCCCAACACCCTTCACCACTGGGCTCTCCCATGGAGGGTGACGGCCACCAAGGGCAGAGCATGGGCCCCCCACCCCAGACACCAACAAGGACCCAATGAGAGCCCCCCACCCTGCACACCCCACAACACCCATCACCACTGGGCACCCCCGTGGAGGGTGACAGCCATCAAGGGCGTGGTGTGAACCCTCCACCTCTCACACCACCATGGGCTCAGTGAGCCCCCCACCCCAGACACCACTGCCCCCACGTGGGCACCCACCGGGATGGTGCTCTGGGCTGCCTGGTAGTGGGTGCCAGGGGGCAGCTGCACCCTCAGCTCGGCCTCAAAGGCACCTTCGCCCGCGTTGGAGGCGTGGGCACGCAGGCGCAGCGCGGCCTCCGCCCCGATCAGCAGGCGCTGGCTGGGGCTGGGGGACACGGGGACACGGGGACAGGGCTCAGCACCCCGTGGGGTCACCACACGGGGGCACGGGGACAGGGCTCAGCACCCTACGGGGACACCAGCTATCCCCCTCGCCCCCCTGTCCCAGGTGCTCACGTGTCAGCGGCCAGGTGGAGGTCAGGGATGCAGAGATTGTCCTCGCCACAGTCCTCCAGGATGATGTGGGTCTGGGAGGGGGACAGGGAGGGGACAGGGGGACCCCCATCCAAGGTGCAGTGTGGGAGGGGGAGTCATTGGGGACAGCAGGGGATATGAGGGGGGAGTTCCTGGGGAGGGATTGGGCTGGTGGAGGAGGCAGAGGGGACATCCCAGGGGGGAAGATCTGGGACAGTGCGGGGTAGAGAGGGGTCATTCCCAGGAGTCATTGAGGATGGTGGAGGGGAGAAAGGTGATACCCCTGGGGAGTAAGAGCAGAGGGGTCATCCAGGGGACTGATTCAGGATTGGGGAGGATACTGTGGGACACCCCAAGGATGGAGCAGGGACAGCAGGGGGACATGCTGGGGAGAGATTGGGGATGGCAAAGGGGACAGAGGGGACATCCTCGGGGATATGACTGGGGGGAATGGGGTACAGAGGTGACATCCCAGGAGGGACTGGGGACAGCAGGGTGAGCACAGAGGGGTGGGCAGGAGGGACAGTGGCAGGGCACAGTGGGGGGGCACATTCCAGGGGGGACAGAGGACAAGGTGAGGGGTAGGAGGCACATCCCAACAGGAACTGGGGACAGTGAGGGGGCTGGGTCATGGTCCCAGGGAGAGGCTGGGGACACTGGGACAGGCTAGAGACCCCGGGGCTGAGCACACCCAGGCTGGGGGTACCCACGTGTGCCTGGCCCAACCATGCAGATGAGCCCACCCCATGTCACCACAGCCATGTCCCCCCACAGCTGCATCCCCCCTACCTGTGCCTGCACCAGGGTGTTCCCATAGAGCACCAGCCCCGGGGCCTCCCGGGGCAGTGCCAGGGCCACGCTCAGGGCCACCGGGCTCAGCTTGTCCTTGAACTCGGCCTCGTCCTGGGGACACCATGGGCAGAGAACTCTGGAGGGCACCGCGAGCCCACCCCACCCCAGGACCCCCACCCACCGCCGTCCCCATCCCTGTCACCCACCCTCCTGGGACACTGTTGTCCCCAAGCCCTGTCCCAATTCCTGTCCCCATCCCGATTGAAGATGCCACATCCCCATCCCTGTCCCCCACCCTCCTTGGACTGTGTCCCCCCCGTGCCCGTACCCGCAGGTAGGCGGTGAGGTTGCGGCACTGGGGGCTTGTCCCCGGTGTCACCACCAGCTCCTCGCGCCAGGACGACTGGTGTCCCTGCAGCAGCAGGACCCTCCGGGACAGCCGGGGCTTCAGCCGGTCCAGCTGCAGCTCAGCCTCCAGGTCTGGCAGGGCACAGGGCGGGGTGGCACTGGTGACACCCCCGGGGACACGCCAGCCGTGCCCGTGTCCCCCCCGGGTGGCGCTGGCACTCACGGATGGCCGAGGGGATGTGCTGGCCCGTCACGCTGACACAAAACACCACGTGGAAGCTGCGGGGGAACAGAACCCAGAGGTGCTCAGGGACCTGTCCCGTCCCCACAGCAGTGTCCCCATGGCATTGTCCCCTCAGTGGTGTTCCCACAGCAGTGTCCCCACAGCAGTGTCCCCATAGTGGTGTCCCCGTGGCATTGTCCCCATGGCAGTGTCCCCATTGTCCCCACAGCAATGTCCCCACAGCGGTGTCCCCACAGCACTGTTCCCACGGCAATGTCCCCTCATCAGTGTCCCCACCCCGGTGTCCCCAGCACACGCCTCACCAGCTGACACGGATACCGGAGTCGGGCAGGACACAGTCCAGGATCTCGGGGTTCAGCCCATCGGGGACACTCAGCTGGGTGTGGGCCACCACCACGGGCTGTCCCCTGGGGCACGGGGACATTGCTGAGGTGCCAGGGGACCCGGCAGGGACTCCCGGGCCACCGCAGGGACAGGCACTCACCGGTACACGGCCACCTTGGCCGCCCCGTAAGCCCCGACCAGGAGATCTGCGGGGACAAGCGGAGTGTCGGTGCCGGGGTGGTGACAGCGGGGCGGGCAGGGCGATGGCAGGGCGGTGACAGGGTGGTGGCACCCCGGGGCCGTACCCGGGTAGCCGTTGCCGTCCAGGTCGGTGCCCCCTCGCAGGGTGAAGCCGAAGGCGGCGGGGCCGGGGAAGGGGCTGTCGAGGCGCTGGGTGGGCACCGGCTCCAGCCCCTCGCTCTGCCCGCGGAAGATGAAGACCTGCCCTCTGCCATCGTCACCCCCCTGCGGGGCACCCACGGCCACGTCTGGGGACAAAGGGGACGTGGGCGCCCACCCAGCACCGCCCACCCAGCACCGCCCACCCAGCACCACCCACCCAGGCGCTCCCGCCTCAGTTTCCCCAGGGTGGGGGCACGGGGGGGTCCCCTGGCACAGCCCCCTCGCCCCCGCCCGCGCTGTTACCGCCGAAGCCGTCCTTGTCCAGGTCCCCCAGGCTGGCGATTGCGGCGGCGAAGCGGCCGTAGGCGTGGGTGCCCGTCAGGGTCTGGGGGGGCCGGGGGAGGAGCTGGTGCCCCCCGCCCAGGTAGAGGTAGAGCCGCCCCAGTTCGCTGCGCTGCCCGTCGGGGCGCCGGGCCATGTACAGGGGGGCACCCACCAACAGGTCATCCCTCCTGTGCCGGGCGAGGGCTCAGGGTGAGGGTACTCAGGTTTGGCGGCTGGGGGCACCCAGGGGTGTGCCAGGCACGGGGCGGCACCCCTGGGTGTCCCCGTGGGGAATGGGGGTGTGGAGGGGACACAGTCCTGGCTCTCACCCGTCCCCATTGACGTCGGCCACGGCCACCGTGTGCCCGAAGTACGATGCCACCTGGAAAGGGTCCGGGTTGGGGTGGCACCGGGAGAGTGCCAAAAACACCATGGGGTGCACTGGGTGATGGGCGGGGGGGTTCGGGGAGCAGATGGGGGCTTGGGGGCTATAGGGAGGAGTGCAGGGGTGCCGTGGAGCCCCAGGGGGTGCTGAGGGTGGCACAGGGTGGAGGTACCTGCTCGCTGTCGATGCCCCGCAGCCGGCGCAGGGTGTTCCCCGCAGTGAAGATCTCCACCTGCCCAGGGCAGCGTCAGACCCCAGCCCGGGGGGGCCACACGGTGGTGACCCCTCCAGGTGGCACCGGGCACGGGGCACCCCCCAGCACTCACCTCACCCCTCGTGTCTCTCTTGTTGGGGACCCCCACCACGTACTCTGTGGGGGATAAGAGCCATGAGTGACCCCACCGGGGCATCGGAGGGGGCGTGGGGATACCCCTGGCACTGGGGTGGGCACAGGGATAACCCCGGCACTGGTGTGGGCACAGGGATAACCCCGGCACTGGTGTGGGCACAGGGATAACCCCGGCACTGGTGTGGGCTCAAGGATAACCCCGGCACTGGTGTGGGCTCAAGGATAACCCTGGCACTGGTGTGGGCACAAGGATAATTCTGACACTGGGGTGGGCACAGGCATATCCCCAGCACAGGGATGGGCAGAGGGATACCCCTGGCAGGGTATGAGGGGTGTGGGGGCACAGAGACAGGATAAAGGGTGTGACCTGGCACAACCTCTGTCCAGCACCCCTGGGAGGGGAGGTCTCCCCAGGGTGTCCCGGGCCCATCACCCCCCCGCCCGCAGGTGGCCCTGCCTTCCACGCCCCCCAGCCCTACCTTTGGTTCTGGGGTCGCCATCGAACTCGCCCACAGCCACCGAGTACCCTGCAGGGAGAGGAGCACCAGTGAACCCCGGGGAGCCCCGGCAGGAGCCGGCTGTGGGGCGGGGTGCCCGTGCCCGCTGCTCACCCCGGTACCCGTCCTCGTATTCCAGGGACACGGGCACCGTGGGGCGCCCCGGGGTCCCCAGCCAGAGCAGGGACGTGCCGTGGAAGCGGCTGAGGATGGTGTTCACCTCCACGGAGTACAGGAGCCCTGCGGGACACGGGGGTGGGCGGACACCAGCACTGAGGGGGCACCCGCTGCCACACGCCCTGGGCTGCCAGTGCCACTGCGGGTGGCACTGAGGGGGTGGCCCGTGGGTGCCCTCCTCTCGCCATGCCCACCCAAAGGGAGCACCAGCCCGGCAGGAAGGACTCACCCGTGAAGTAATACCCGCCGGGGGCACCCAGCACCAGCGTGCCGTCCTGCGGGAGGAACTGGCCTCAGCACCGCCCTGGGGCACCCCCACCCTGGCATCGCGCCCAAACATCCCTTATCCTGGTGTCCTTCACCCCCACGCTCCCACCTCAGCATCCTTTATCCTGTCATCCCCACCCGGGCAACGCCCCAAGCATCCTCACCCAAGTACCCCCCACCCCAGCACCCTCCATCCTGGCACACCTCCCTCAGGTATCTCCCACTCCAGCATCCCCTACCCCAAAATCTTCCACCCCATCATCCCTTATCCTGGCATCCATGACCTTGACATTCCCACCTTCGTATCCTCCTCAAGCATCCCCATCCAAGTATTCCCCACCCCAACATTCCCTAAGCATCACTCCCAAGCATCCTCACCCAAGTATCTCCCATCCTGTCATCCCCCATCCTGGCATCCCCTCCATCCTGGCATCCTCCACCAGAGCATCCATGACCCTGGCATCCCCACCCAGGCTTTCCCCACCCCAATATTTCCCACTCCAGCATCCTCTGCCCTAAAGCCCCCCCCCCAAATATCCCACATCCTGGCATCCCCCCACTCAAGCATCGTCCACCCCAGCACCTCCACCCAAACCTCCCCACACCCTCTTCCCCCCTCCTGACACCCCCACCCCAGCATGCCCCACCCTCTCAGCCTCATCCTGGGGCCCCTTCCTCTGGAATTCCCGCTCCAGCATCCCCCACCCTGACACCCCCACTCAGGTACCATTTCGGCCACACCCTCTGCATCCCTGGCACCATCTCCACGGGAATCCCGGGGGGCACGCCGGGCGCGCTGCCCCCCGAGCCCCCCCCGAGCCCCCCGAACCCCCCGAGCCCCCCCTCACCGGGGTGACGGCGGCGCTGAAGCCGATCTCGCAGTAGCGCTTGTCGTGCTCTGCGGGCACAGGGCAGGGTCAGACCGACACGGGGTGGGGGCACCCCCCCCCCCCCCAGCCCCGAGCCCCCTCACCGTAGTTGCTCTGGCGGTAGGTGTTGGCCATCGACTGGTCCCGGCAGGGCGAGTACCAGACCACGCGCCGCAGCCCCGGGGTCGCCACGAAGCAGGTGCCCGTCGGGGTCCGGAACGCCTCGTCCGGCCCGTCCACCGCGTTCCAGTGCTGCAGCGGGGCGCAGGCCTGGGCAGGGGCACGGGGATGGCACAGGGTGGGTGCCCGCCCCGCCGTCACCACCCACGGGTGCCCAAACCACCCCCCGCCGGCTGCACCCACCACCAGTTTGCCGTCCCAGCCGGTGACGGACGCGCCCAGCCACTGGTGCGACTTGTAGGTGTGGAATTCCAAGGTGCCCTGGGTCTCGGTCTCGTCCCCTGGGGGAGCGGGAGAGGGGGATTTTGCGGCTCCGGCACACGCCCTGTGCCCGCCCAGCACCGCACGGCGCCCACGTACCCGCGGTGTCGATGGGGAGGGGGCGGCAGGGGGTCTCGTCGGGGGGCCAGGAGCAGAGGAAGACGGCGCCGGGCTGAGCCACGCCGGGCTGGGAGGTGTTGGCACGGGGGGCCCCCACGGCCACGCTGGGCCTGGGGGGCAGAGCGGGTGTCACCTGGGGGGGTGGGTGCCGTGCCCGACCCCCGCCCCGCGGTGTGTCCCTACCTGCCCTCTGTCATGAGGAAATCCAGGGCGAAGCCGAAATAGCTGCCGGGGGGTCCCGTGTACTCGGTGGGGGGTTCCTGGAGAAGCCCCAGGGTGGGGGGCAGGCGCAGCCCCCCGAGGAGCAGCAGCACCCGTAGCAGCCTCATGGCCACCCCGAAATGTGGCCACAGCCCCGGCACGTCCCGGGGCGGTCCCGGCTTATCTCGGAGGACGCAGTCGGGGCCGGGGACAGCAGTGATGGGGGGCACAGGAAGGGCCCCCCCGAACGCGCATCCGCTCCTGCGGGAGCCAGAGGGGTGTGGGGGGGATGTGCTGGGTCGGATGTGGCCGGAGCAGGGTGGGGGGCAGGAGGTGGCAGTGCCACCGGGGGACACTGGCAGGGCTGGGGGGACAGGGGGGCAGCACAGCGCCCACCACCAGCCTCCCGCCGGGCCGAATCCAGCCCGCCCTGGGGTGCCAGTCTCGGGGGGTTATTTCGGGGTGCAGGCAGCCCTGGCAGCGGAAACGCGGCGGGGAGGGGGGAGGACAGCAGGGCACGGGGCCCCTGCATCGTCCCCGGTGTTCCCTCTGCAGCCGGATGGAGCAGACAGCACTGGCCCCATCAGCACTGGGTATTGCCCACAAACTGTCTCCCCCCCTTCCCCAGGGTAGGGACACCCCAAAACCCTCCCAAGGGGCCGAGCAGCACAGGGAAATGGCTCTGGGAAGGGGATGGGTGCCAGGTGGGGGCACAGCCCACACCCAAGAGAACAAGGGGGGTTCCTGTCCCCCGTGGAGGAGCCGGTGCCCCTCAGCCAAGCCAGGCCTGGGGGAGCCATGGGGGTTCAGCCCTGCCTGGACAGTGTCTGAGCCCCTGAACCCACCAGCACGATTAATTTAAACTCAATTAATTGAGGACCCTCAGGGTGCCTCGGGGCTCCAAGGGCTCCTCGTGCTCACCCAGAGCCGGTGGCAGGGACAGGCCCTGGAGCATCTCCCTGTGATCCAGCCCCATTTGTGAAACTCCCTTTCCATCTCTGAAGCTGCAGGTGGGAAGCAGGACGGAGGGGTCAGGGGGTCCTGGAGGGCACAGGGAGGCCACCACAGTGCCCAAACAGCACCTTGGCCCCTGAGGGGGAACACAGCCCCAGAGCCCGGACTGCTCCAGCCCTTTGGAGCAGCTGCAGTTGGAAAACAGCTGGAGCAGAGCTCCGAGGGGTGGGAAGGGTTTAGCAGAGCCCGGCTCAGCTCTGTGCCCCGGCAGAGCAGGACACTGGGCTCAGGGGCAGCTGCTCCTCCTCGGGTGGTCTAATCCCCCGCTGGCAGCAGCATCCAAACCCAGCTGGAGCCCACACCAGGCTCCTTCAAGCCCACTGTGATTCCTTCTCCTGTTGAATTACTTATTTCCCTGTTCCTTGCAGCTCTCCTGCACCGTCACTCATCAGCCTCCCCGGCCCAGGGCCACCCAGAGGACAGACAGGCAATGGCAGGTGGCACCCTGTGCCCCCACCCTGGCAGCGTTCAGTGGGGTTTGGATTTTTTTCCTTTAACCAAACCAGGACTTTATTTAGGAAAGGAGAGGTGGGTGCTCCTCCTCCTGAGCTCTCACGGCTTCTGACGCTCGCCCAGGCTGGATCAGCAGCACAGCCTGGGGTGGAGGGACCCCGGGGGCAAAACTCCCAAAATCCCATGGCATCACCTGGGCAACTCCAAGCTCCTCAACCACGGTGGGGACAGTCCTGAGGAGCAGCTGAGGGAGCTGGGGGGGCTCAGCCTGGAGAAAAGGAGGCTCAGGGGGGACCTTCTTGCTCTCTGCAACTCCCTGACAGGAAAGGGAGTCGGGCTCTGCTCCCAGGGAACAAGGGACAGGAAGAGAGGAAACGAGCTCAAGCAAGATTTAGGTTGGATATTAGGGAAAATTTCTTCCCCAGAATGTTTG